ATTATTTCGTTTAGAAAGAGGGAGGAAGGGAGAGAGAGAGATCTCATGTAGTGGCTTAGTCCTCAAATATCTATAGCATGCAGGACTGGAGCAAAATCAGGAGCTGAGAAACGAATCTATATTTCCCAGGTGGGTGACAGAAACTCAGCTAGCTGAGTTCTCACTGCAACCTCATTGGGTGTGGAGTCAGGATCAAATCCTGACACTCCTGAGGTGGAACAGCATCACCCTGACTTCTAGGCCTGGCCCCATTCTAAACATGCAGTGACTACTTATTTACTAAGTGCACAGAACACTGCTTACACTTTGTGTTCACATGACTCAAGGACAGATCCTGCCTTCAAGTCATTTACCACTTAGGTCCTGTAAATGTTTTTTTTTTTTTAAATTAAATTAAGCAGTGATGGCTAAGTGGAGCTCCTTCTGGAAGATGCCCACCGTCCAGTAGATTGACCTATGAATGCATCTGAGATTTTGTTGTAAGTTTTTATTTTCTTTTAATGTCGGGAAAATGTAATAAAGCTTTGTCTAGGTTTTTAACTTTATGGCTGTCAAAATAAAGTCTTGACAATTACTTCATTTGGATTGTTTGCCTGCCTTTGTTTTATCAGAACAATGGCATTACAGCCCAGACCAGTGCCTTTTCAATTCTTTTTGACTGGTTTTGCCAGGAATCCAGTGAATACTCATTATTACTTTTCCAGTGTAACAGGCGAGAAAACCCTGACTTAGCCTGATATGCAAGTTGCTGCACTAATTATACATTTGATACCTAATATGACTGGTGTTGTCCATGACTTTGGGAACAGTAGGCTCACTTTCCACTTGCGATTCTAAATAATGCCAGTAACAAAGCAGAAGCTTTCAATGCTGTTGTTGCCTTTTGGTGGTCATAATTAAGATAACATTTATTTGTACTAATAATCCAGGATTTCATCTCCCTAATAGATGTACTGAGCAAGCACTGTGGTGACAAGATAAGTTACCCTGTTTTGTTCCATATGTCTGTGTTCTAAGTAGTCCATAGTTTTAATTGGTTCCCCGCAGAATAACATTTACCAGCATATGGTATGGAAAATGCTGACTGCTTTTGTTATCATGTATCTTAGCACTTCTGATGGCCCCAGTTCACATACCTTTTACGTGTGATTATGAGGTTATTTAATGTGCTTGATGGTGTAATGTTTGGGAATCTGTTTCCTGATGCTAAAGGCCGTGACAGTGGTGTAGCTGGTAGTCCATTCACATTTGGGCTGAAAACAAATTCCCAAAAGCTTTCACTGTGGGTTTGTGCAGCAAGATTCTCTTCCTCTGCTTCCTTGCCTCCAGAGTGCTTTCGAAGGCAGCGAGGCTGCTTCAATTAAGCTTGCTAGAGGACGCGCTGCTGGGAGCCTGAGAGAGCCAAGGGGCATAACAGAGCGCTCTGGCGCTGTGTTGGGGAGATTTACCAGCGTTTCTCTGAAAGCAGCTTACAGATGTGCAAGGAGATTTGTGGAAGGGAGGAGGGACAGCTGTAGATTTGGATCTTAAAGCTACCTTGGGTTCTTGGGTGGTTTCCTCTGGGAGTCCTGTGGTAGATTGTAGCTGAATTATTAATATTTTCAAGACTTGGTACAAGGTTTCTGCTTCTTTGCTTACTTTTTAGTTTTTAAAAAATATTTTATTTTAAATTTGAAAGGTAGATTTACAGAGAGAAGGAGAGACAGAGAAAGATCTTCCACCCAGTGGTTCATTTTCTAATGGCCACGATGGCTAGAGTTGATATGATTCAAATTTGAAGCCAGGAGCCTCCTCCAGATCTCCCATGCAGAAGCAGGGTCTCAAGACTTTGGGACATCATTCACTACTCTCCTAGGCTATTAGTAGGGAGCTGGATGGGGAGTGGAGCAGCTGAGACACCAACTGGTACCCATATAGGTTTCTGGCACTTGAAGGTGGAAGATTAGCCTGTTAAGCCATGGCACTGGCCACCCCCACGCACCCTCCCCCCCCCGCCTTTTTTTTTTTTTTTTTTTTTACAAAAAATTTGAATCAGGTATGGAAGTGGAAAGAATTGCAGAAAAGAGTAGCCCTTGGGAGGCCTGTGAACTCCCTACTGCATTTCAGCCTGAAAGTTATCTTCTTTCCACCCTTGAATCAAAGCAAAAGTCACTTCCTCCGAGAGGCCTTCGCAACATTGTGGATGCTGGGTAGCTGCTGCCCTTCTGGGCTCCACACTGCTCTACAATGACTTGCAGTTTATGAGCCATAACCTTACATGAGCAGCAGGGAGCAGCAGAAGTTAAAAAGACAAAAAAAGAAAAAACCCACAACTGTGTTTATTGTTGTTTTTCTCCCTGGTCCCATTTCTGGAAGGTGGGATTTCTTTAGGTGCCCACCCAGATACCAGGGACTGAGGAGCAACACAAAGAGAGTAGGCTGAGGTGGGGTTTGGGAGTGCCCATTCTTGGGGTCTGATGGGGGATTGCTGGTAACTTGCTCTTGGCAGAGCTTGCTGGGGGTGAGGGGCTGGGTGTTCAAGGGCCTGCCTTTTCTTAGTCTGGTAGATGTGGCCAGGGGCTGTTGTTTCTAAGTGGGGCCAAACAACAGGAGCCTTCAGAATGTGCAGTTGTTTGTGGTAATTTGTGTAAATGTTGAAATTTTTTTCATTGGCACAATGTTATTACCTATAGGGTAGTTTTCAAAAATCCTGACAAAAATCCGCATGGGCTGCATTTTCCCAAAAAGAATCAAAGGTTGACTTGCAGGTTTTCAAAAGGTGTGAAAAAAATGGCTCGCTGAGAGAGCGACATGAGCGTGAGCAGGACTTCAGGAGAACAGAGACAGGAAATATTGTTTGTGGTGTCAATGAACATAGCATTGGGAAGTGGTCAAACACATACATTTTGAATTAGATGAGCTTAAATGGTCTTTGTTTTAGGGTGTTTTCCTGGGGCAGTTGGATGGACCAGACTTATCTGTCACAAAGGGATGATGTGAAATTTCCACCCCAAATTTGAGTTCTGTGCAGTGACAGCAAGTTGATAGCACTTGGTCCATGGTATCTGCTTTGGAGGCTCCCACCCCTCACCTTGGACTCCATGTGAATGGTGTCCCCTGAAGGGTAGGACAGGTGCTCTTTCCTGTCACTGCTGCCAAAACTAGTTGCTGATTCCTTTTCTTCAGTTAACTGGAGTTTGTCTAACAAGCGATGGGAAGGAGGACCTCTCTAAATGATTGTTCCAACTGGTCGTACCTTCCGTTGTTCCTGCTCTACACTCTATCATCAATATCCCCTCACCATGACATCCAAAAACCAACCATCAGAGATTTGATTTTTAGCATCTCCTCTTTCTCTTTCACTGTAAGAGTCTGTAGAATCAAATTATGGATGGACCATATTACATGTGAATTAAATTATGAGTAGGTTGAAAAGTTACTTGATACCAAGCAAAGGAAGTTGGAGAGTATTACTGTGTATTTCTGTTTAATGGAGGTTTCTATTTTCTGTGACCTACAGGTTCTTAACAGCTACCAGGGTCTGAAACAGAAATAAATCAATAAAAATAAGTCAGAAGGACATTATTCCACAAAATGGGTATTCATGTATTTACTCCTGAGCGGTTCCAAAGGCCAAGCACCCACCCTTCAAATGAGTGCTTGAATGTCTGTATTGAATGTCTAACTAGCATGTTGCATGTACTGTTTATTTTTGAAGTGATATGTGCTCTGTGTGTGTGTGTGTGTAAGAGAACGTGAGAGAGAAAGCAGAAGAGGTCACCTGGGAGGTGAAGTTCTTTTGTCACTGAAAAACATACAGTGTAATAAATAATGGTATCATTAAAAACTGTCATCTTTACAAAGTATAGCTGTTGTGCATATCCCTGCTACATTTCCCTGTGAACCTGCCCAGGTTCACTGTGCCCGCAACACTCTGCTACCGCCAGTCCCCAGTTGCTTAGCTGTTCGTTACTGTCAGGCCTGATTGCATTTCAGGCACGCCAGGTGTGTGGTGTCACTGGCCTGACGTTTCCTCCAAATACATTTACATTCGCGAGTGTTCAAGCAATGGATTTTCCTTAGGATAACAAAAAGCTGACTGTGAAGAAGCGAAGCTTCTGGGAAAAGTCTTTGGGGCTCATCTAGGCTTGTTCAAAGGGGGAGAGGACCTGATTAATTAGCCACAGTCCTTCTAATCCGAAAGATCAGAAATAATTAAATGTCTGGGTAACCTGTGTCCCGTAGCATCTGACTTGGAAGGGGCTGATACGCTAAGGGACTCTGGCCTCACTAAAGGAAGTTCTAGCAACTTAGTATAGAGAGAGGGAAGGTTGTGTTTGTGAGAGTCCATTAAAAAAAATTAAAATATTTGTCATTCACATATTTTCAATGAAAATGAAAACACTTCAATCTAGAAAAGAAGATCAATTCCTACAATGTGTATCAACCTTAAAAACAGCAAAAACCAGGAGCAAATGTGCGACCACTTTCACGACTGAAGTCTCAGTCCCTTTCTGGCTGGTGCTGTTCCTTGAGGCTAGGTAAACTGGTGTCACCCACCTGGGAGGAAGGCAGGCTAGGGATATGACCTGGACATGTTCCAGCAGGGATTGTGAAGGTGACCGTGACAATGGGATTTGTGTAAATGCGAGTGGACCTTGACTTATGGAGCCCTCCCTTAGCTGTTGAATTAGAGTCACTTCTTGATGGCTTCCCCAGGCCACAAGCAGGGAGCTGGATGGGGAGTGGGGCTGCCGAGATTAGAACCAGTGCTCATATAGGATTCCGGCACATGCAAGGTGAGGACTTTAGCCACTAGGTTACTGTGCCAGGACCGCTCAATTAGCTATTTAGGGTAGGTGAGTGACTCAGTAGTTAACTCTCCCGTGGTAACACCCACATTTCCATGGTGGAGTGCCTGTTTTGATCCTTGCCGCCCTGCTTTCATTATGGCTTCCTGCTAATGCACATTAAGAGGAGGCAACAAGTACTGGGTTAGGCACTGAGTACCGGCCACCCACATGGAGATCCATCATGACTTCCAGGCTCTTGGCTATGGTCTGGTCCAACTCAAAGTGTTTCAGGTATTTGGAGAAGTGAATCAACAGATGTACAATTCCTGTCACTCTCTCTCTCTCTCTCTCTTCCTTTTAAATAAGATGAAAATACATACATTTTTATTAAAAATTGCCCTTGTGGTCACTGATGTATAGAAAAGTTTAAGCAACTGATGAAAAATTGGGAGAAATATACATATGTGTCATTTCTGACATCCAGTACAAAGACCAATTCATGTTATATGCTGGACAGTTTTGCTACGGAACTTTTTAGAAGTGGTTAGTTCTTTGAAAGGTGCAAAAGGATGCCAGCCTTCCATAAAATAGTTTAGAAATTTATTGAGTTACCAAGGGAAAGTGCCAACATATCTTCTATTCCAGAGAAGTGACCATGTACACTTTTTAAAAATAGCTACTGCAATTTATATTTTTAGAATGATACTACTCACATCCCTCTCAGAAGGGAAAGCATCACAAGTTTTATTTACCCAATTATAAAATATAATGCAGAAAAACATACTTGATAGCTGAAAATGGACAGGCAAAAAAAAATTCTTACAAAACCATGAGTTATATGCCTACTTTACAAGCCAGGACCTTATGAACAAAAATCAATTTGTTCTTAAATTAAGAACACCTCATATAAGAAAGTGATACGGGCTGCCATGCACTCGTTCCTTGAAATAAAAGGATGTTTTACTCAAGCAATAACTCAGAGATACAGTTTATATGTAGTTAAGTTGCTGATGATCTTAATAAAGCCACATTTCCTTTTCCTAATTTAAACAAACATTTTGGAATACTAAGCAATTTGTATAGTTTTTGTATTCCCACTTCATGTTAAATTTATGCTTTTTCTGCCATTGTGTGTGAGTGTGTATGACACACTTGAAAGATGATTGAAACGTTCGTATTTATGCTAATGGTTGCAGATGAAGCTGTGCCTCTCTTGCATTTGTTTCAGAATCGAAGCAAGCGCTTAGAGAAGGTCCACGTGGTTATCGGCCCTCAGGCCTGTGACTTGGACTCTCTCATTTCCGCCTTCACTTACGCCTACTTTCTTGACAAGGTAAGGGCAAAACAAGGTGCTCATTCCAGATTTGAGTTGTTAGATCGTTTATTAGAGGAACATTTTCTAGAAAAAGAAACTTACATTTCTTGTTCTGGTTTGTTATTGCTGAGAAGGAAGTGTAACAACCCATTCATCAATAATTTTTATTGATTAGTTATGTATTGAGATATTTTTATGGTTATTTATCTTAAGTGAACAAATCTATGGTTTTCACGAACATGGTAATACGGATACACACAGATATTTCTTTTTTTTTTCTTATTTGTTTTTAATTTTAAGGGAGAATAGGCAGTATTTTTCTTTCTGGGCTGGGCTTATTTCACTCTATAACATGCCTTCTAGTTGAGTCCATTTTGCTGCAAATCTTACCAACTCTTTATATAACCATTATTTCAATGAAGTCAGTGTCTTCAAATAAAAATATAAAGATGTTCATAGGAATTGATTCTTTGGGGGGATTTAGAAAACTAAAAGGAAAAACCAAAATTGCTTATTTTTGTTTATCATTATTATTATATAGCTTTACCCCTGGCAGTAGAAAAGCTATGTGACATATGAGCATATCATCTCATAATGAGAAGTTGAAGAGACTTTTCAGTTACTTTAAAAATCTTATTCCATAGCATTCATCAGTGTATTAAGAACGGGCTTTTGGGTACTAACACTGATTGTTTGGGTGCTATTTCTAATATCATAGAATTTTTTAGTTTTCAAGAGTTCGGTTTATTTCATTCAATTTTATTCGGATGCTTGAATCTCTGACAATATGCATAATTGATCTAGAGTGATTTAAATTAGCATGAAACTCAGTCTTTCAGTATGAACTGTAGGTGGCAAGAATTGCTTTAGGGCAGCAGCTGACAAAAGCGTAGGGAAAATATTCTGATCTCTAAATGTGTACTTTTTAACAAATTTATCTTAAAGTTTGTTGAACTTTGCAAGGGAGATTAATTGGTAGGAGGAAATAAATGTTCCTGTGTCAAAACTCACGTGTTAAAGACTAATGTTATTAGTTGGACTTTTTGACTTCTTGAAAAAAATGTTCCATGTCTAGGGAACATAGACTTAACTGGACTGATTTTCAGACTGACAGTACAGTACCATGGATGTTTAAGGAAACTATGTAATAATGATAACACCAACAACTGTATGGCTTACATGAATACGACGTCCAACAAAAGGACTCACCCTGGCGCTAAGTGTGGAATCGCCGAAGGGCCGCATGCTGTGAATTTTGTTGTATCTCTGTGCCTTCCTGAACTTTACATCGCTCTCGCCTCATGCCGCCACCATAGGAACTGGCTAGCTTTGCAGCTTTGCTTCTATGACCTCATTCAAGTCCTTCTCACTCACTATGGCAGCTGAACCCATTCCACAGATATGAAGATCTGAGGCTCACATTGTAAAGTCTGGGGCTAGAACATAGTGGAGACCAGGTTGTGCAAGGATACTTTGAAACCACATGATCTTGACTCGCACACAGATTCTTCTCCAGTTGTGTGTCAATACCAAGCATTAGATATAACTGTCAATTAGGAGAAATAGCTCAACATACCTGAATTGCTAATAACTCATGAATTACGATTCTATATAGGTTAATAGGTGAGAGGGAGGGAACTGTTTTAGGGAGTGGCTTTGTACTTGTACACCATGGCCCTGAGAAATTCATTTATTTCCTTCAATGAATGCTTATTGAATGCAAATTTTTTATTAATTTGGACGCATTCAGTTGAAGAAAAGACTCCAAAAGTTATGCTTTCTTCATGCTGGAAAAGCAGCCGATTATTAAATCCACACTATGATCATGACAGAGCTGGTGACAATGTGAGAACAACGGCCATGTACACTCTGTAAAATGTCACTGTTGCCAAACCACAGATTGTTTCAGCGATAGAACTTATTGCTGTATATGTAAATAATTTTATAAACCTCCCTTTAAAAATGTTCCTGTAGAAAATTTATTGTGAATCTAGAATTCTTTAACTCTTACACAGCTCCTGTTCTCCCAGTTGTCACAAAACTTTTAATAGGAAGTTTATTATAAAACATATCTTTTATAATATAGGAAATCATAAGAGATTGCATTCTGATAATCCATGGAGCAAACTTAGCTTAAATATGAAGCTACAGATTATTTTAAAACTTACAACAAATATCTGTTGTAAAAATTAAACATTGCAGATGCAGATGCCTCGTGGCAACTATTCCATAAACACATGTGGGCTTCTTACATGGGAATCTACCAAGGGAGTGCAGTAAGACATCAACTATTTTAAGTAAGAAATAAGAAGTTCCAACAGAGTAACACGAGTTTAAAATGATCAGGGGCCACTTCACAGCAGAAAATGGTCTATTAATTTGGTTGTGAGTGGCAGCTGGCTTAGTGAGGCCAGAAGACTGACATTCTCTTTACAAGTTACCACTATGCTCGCAAAAAAGCAGTTGTATTTGTTGCATTCTTCCTTTGTGTGTGTGTGTGTGTTTTTTTTTTTTTTGCAATGATGCAGTCATTTTTTTTTTCTTGGTAGGTCAGTCCACCAGGGGTTCTCTGTTTACCTGTGCTGAATATACCCCGAACTGAATTCAACTACTTCACTGAGACAAGGTTTATTTTAGAAGAGTTAAATATTTCTGAATCCTTCCACATATTCCGAGATGAAATTAACCTGCTGCAGCTAAATGATGAAGGGAAGTTGTCCATAACGCTTGTTGGCATCAGTGCACTGGCAAGGTAAGATGCACCAAAGTTCTGGGAGTTTGAACCTTTTTTGAAGGATTAAACAGGATTTTTTTTGTGGAGGGATTTACTAAAAGCAGAGGATGTTTAGAGCAAAATGAATGTCTTTTAAAAAAATTATTATTATTTATGGGAAAATTTGAGCAATGCCAACTCTGTTTTTGCATGCCAGTGCGACATTTGAAAATGAGAGTTTGTAAAATCAAGCAATCTATTAGTTTGAAGCCATTTGAAACATTTTCTTATAGTGAGACAGTAGTCCTATGCTTTAATGCTATAAATATGCAGTAAGAATTGAAACATTAGATGTAAGTGGGTTTCTTAAGAGAAATATTTAGTTATAAAATAGAAAAATAGGTGGAGATGGGAAGTTCACAGTATTTTGTGCTATTGGAGCAGGATGGAGTTTTTGAACCTTCATGTAGTTTAACTACTTATTTTATGGACAAGAAGCTACAGACCAGGTGTCTTAAATGACATGCCAAGAGCACAAAACGCAGTTAACAGAATATGAATTACAGTTTGGAACTTCTGGCTTCTTCAGTGAGTCCCTAAGGGTTTCAAACTGATACAAGAATCTAAAGCTACGAAAAGAGTAATACAGATTCTTGCCTTCCAGGACCTTACAAAAATACTATTCTGACAAGTTCTCTATAGCTACTAAATTATGAGTCGCCAGTTGAACACTTCAGTAGTTCAACATGAAGTCTTTTGCAGTTTGCCCAGTTGCTAACTGTTGTGTGACTTTAATCAGTGGATATTGACCTTAGTGTACCTGAAACTGGAACCTCATGAATTTTAAGATTTAGCCCTTTTAGTGGTGAATACAATGTGATAGAAGTCATGTCACTAATTTAATACAGGGTTTTAAAAGTAATCCATCTGTCTGAGGATATTCTTAGCGAATTCCTTAGAATAATACTGATTCATTAATTGTTGGCAAGTGACTGGAGCAGGTCTTTGACTTCAGTTACAGTGCTCAAGAGCACTCATCTGCTTGACAGAATGTATGTGATAACTTTTTAAAATCAATAGATGAAAGTTGATATGGATAAAAATACAGTGCATAAAATCAAAGCAGTGACTTCTGGAATGTGTGTGTATCAGTCAAACTCAGAGGGAATTTGTCACCAATTAACAAAGGCAAATATATGCTGGTTTTAAGACTGAAGTTGTGAACTGGCTTTGGGATTGTTTGTGAAGGAGAATGCTTTTCAAAAATCAACAAGATCCTTATTTCCTTCATTGCCACGCGTCTGTTTTGACAGGCAAGAAGAACTAAACTAGTTTCATCCATACCTTTCTTCCTGCCTTTGATAAAATCCAGCTCTATCTCATATATAAAGGATGATGGCAGAAGCAAAGAAATATGGAAATGTATTTTCTATACCACCAGTCATGAGGTGTGCAGACTTTGATGCCAGATTGTTAAGTATCAGTTAGTCCACTCGCACAGTTGCTTGGCCTTGGACAATTTTCTTAATTTTATTTGCCTTAGTTTCTCCATTTTTCAAATGAGGATTTCAATAGGTTGCATTTCATTGAGTTATTTTTTAAGTTTTTTTTTTTTCTTTTCAAGACAGAGTGATAGAGAGAGAAGGAGACACACAGAGGTAGGAATCTACCATGCAGGTTCATCCCTCAAGCACCTGCAATAAAGCACATAGTCAGGAAGCTGAATTGGAAGTTGAGCAGCTGGGGCTCACAGCAGTTTGTCTAATAGGGGACCCACGTGTCCCAGCTGTTGGCTTAACTCTCTGTGCTACATCCCTTCCGCTTTGTAGGGTCATTTTGTAATATAAAATAGGACACACACATAAAGCGTATGTGTTAGTGTATGGCATGCAGTGACAACTCAATAAATATTGGCTATTATTTCCCAACTGTGAAACAAGAGACAGGGCTGCTTGAGTGTGAGTGTGAAGTTATTCTAAGATTCTTGGGGAGCATTGATAAAGGATGGGAATTCATTGATAAAGAAAAGGTGCAATGCCACGGAACACAATTCTTTTTGGAGCCATGCACGGCTTTCTGGCTGTGGAGAGGAAGTTACTTCTGCGGGAGCACAGTCAGAAAACACGTCCCATCTCATTCTCTTGTACTTCTCCACTTCCTTAACAGTGAGGACAAAGCTTTAGAATCCGCCGTTGTCAAAGTCATCAGTCCGACGGAGCAGAGGGATGTGGACGCGAAGTTCCAGGAGCCCTCTTCCTCACTGGTGCTGAAAGAGCTTCTCCGGGAGGCTCCTGAGCTCGTCACCGAGCAGCTGGCTCATCTCCTCAGAGGTGAGAAATGGCTCTTTCTATTAAATACTGGAAGGCTTAATGGAGTGTCTCTGGACCTGCTCATGCAGAAAGACTGCGATCCATTCTTAGCTTAACAATCCCTTTCAAGACCACGGGAAGCTTCATCAGAGAGGCAGGGAGTAAAGAGTTTGTTAAAGAGTAGCATTATATTGAATATTAAAAATGTGCATTTAAAACTAGGCATGAAAGGCCTTTGCCGTTTCGCTAGACAAGAATATTAAATGGCACGGCTCCACCTCTGTAGGGGAGCGGGAGCGGCTTTCCCTGCTGTGTTAATAGCTTCCAGAGGCGATTCTTGCCTGGAGACAGTGGGAATGGGGACCAGAATTCCAAATTCCCATGTGGAAATATCTTCTGCTACCTGAGCGTGCTTATTCCATAAAATACTCTTTAGGTGGCAAAATACACATTGCACCCTTGGGTGTTTCATCACAAAGCCTTTGATGGCCAGTTCCACAGTCACTCATCTTGCAGGATAGCCCATCTTCATTGATTCTCAAACCTGCAAGTGCAGACCCTGCTTTCCATATCTGTTCAATCAACTTCAGATGGAAAATATTTCAAACATTGTCTCTGTATGAAAATACACAGTTTTTCCTTGTGCTTATTCCCAAAATAGAGCATTGTAGCAATTGTTTGCATATCATTTGTATTACATGAGATATGTAAGTAACCTGGGGATATGGGAGGATGTGTGTCAGTTCCTTGCAAGTGCTATGCCATATGACATAAGGAACTTGGGCATCCTTGGACTTTGATATCCCTGGGGGTCCTGGAATCAGTGGTCTCTGCAGAGGCTGCAGGATGACCGTGGCCCACTGATCTCCTTTTTTTCCCCTTCTCACACTGCTTTCAAAGAGTGAGCTTCAGGATAGAAACTGTCAGTCAACCTGGGTGCCCCAAACTTGCTTCAAGGATTCCGTTAGGACAGACACCGTTGTGAACTTTGTATGAAGCGTTTTCTTTCTTTTCTCAGGGATGCAGTTTGAATGCAGTGTGCATGGATTGTTTTACCATCAGAAATGCTTAACAGTGATAAGTGGAAAACAGCAAGGAATACGCTGAAATGATTCAAAAGGAAAGAGGCTGAGACTGCCCTAACTCAATGCCGTTAGGGACTTTCTCCTTCCCTTCCTCTCCCTCTGTCTTTTCTTGGGGGAAAAGATTCAAGAATATATGGCTCTTGTAAAAGTTTTAGAGTGAATGCTAACGATTGCCATAAATATTTTTATGGCAGTGGATATCTGTAATAGTGCTGAATGAGACTCTATGCTCTTAGCTAAAGTAAGCATAGCCATTTGTGGTTGGGACAGGAAAGTGGGATAGTAAAAACCAGTGGCAATCTCAAAGAAGAGAGAGGTTGTTTCATAGCACAAGTGTGCTTCATAGTTTAGGGAAGCCTGGAGAGGAATTTGTTTGATACCTTGCAAACTAGGAAACCTGATTTATTGTGTGAAAAAAGTACATGTGTTATTTGGTAGGGAAGAAATGCTGTCAATGGATAGTTATAATTTTCTATAAGGAATAACATAATATAAAACTGTAATACATTTGTATGCAGATATGACTTTGGTATTATTGTCACTGACGATGTGTTTCAGATTCTAGAGAATTTAAAATGATGCAGATGCTTTGTTGGTTTGCTTGGTGAGAGTTGGCAGAGCTAAGACACAGGGTCTTGGTGTTAACATCAGAGAGGCGTTTGAAGTGGCCTTGGCCAGCTGAGAAAGCTCTGGTCCTGTCACAGTAGTGGTGGATGAACTCAGTGAAGCCGGAGAGGTATCAGGTGGTTGCGGCTTACTCCACAGGAGATTTGGCCAAGGTCTACATGTGTGTGTGTGTGTGTGTGTGTGAGTGAGCGTGTGGATGTGGACATGCAGGTGAGATAAAAAGTTGCTGAGTGGTATCGGGAACAGAGATATAAAGAGTTGTGATCCAAGGATTCAGGCTGTAACTCAAATATTCAGAGGTGAAATGTACTCCTGGGACTCAGGCCAATTTGTGAAAGCTCTTGGAACTTTAGTAAGAATAAGAAAAAGTCTGAGTCACACGATGCTCTATTTTCTGAACTCAAACTTAAATTCCATGGTTTGCTAATCATGTATTGACACCAAGCCTATAAAGACTAGTTTTCTAATATGCAAGTAACTTCAACATTCTTCACCTTCAGAGGTCCCCTCATAAGCAGTTATGACACCCCTTTATATTTTGGGGTGTTCTAAATGGTAGTGTGACATACATTTCTACAATAAGTATTTGTAGATTCCTCTGGGTTTTGCAAGAACATGAAAGTCTTATGGGCACCTTTGCCATGAAGAATGTCAGCAAATGTCTGTTTACAGGTGCCATGAAACTGAATATTTACAGCTGAAACACGAGAGAATCTTTAAAAGCATCAGAATTATATCTCAGTGGAGAATATATTGTTATAAATGTTATGCCAAAAGAATCCCTGGATGTGTTATGCACCAGACTGATTGTCCTTTGTTTTATGTTTTGGTGGTAGTGTCCTTAGCATACCATGCTGTTTTGCTACAAATAGATTTCAGGTGGGCCAGGGTATTCACTCTGATAGGTCTTGAAGAAGAGTCCCAGTATGCTTCAAGATGTTCCTGAACTGGCAGAAGGTTGGACCTATGCTTCCTTGTTCTTGTTTGTTAACTTCTTTTCTGCTTAACTTCTGAGTGCAGGCAAGTGTCCCAGGACTTTGTCCTGGGATGGTTTTCTCTGTCCACTATCAGTAGGTGACCTCACTGTTTCAAGATTGTGTGAGACACGGCCTGTAACTCCGACCATGGCCTGTCTTTACAATTCCAGACTCACTTTCAGTGCCCCTGTGATGTCTTTATAGGCATGACTCATTGGCAGCATCGGCTTACCATGGCTGTAAAGGCACCTGTGCTTTCATGGACCGCCAGCCTGCTTTTACACCAGTGTCCCCACTCACTGGAAGGCTCTGCTCGCTGTACTTGAATTTTTCCTTTACCTTCCCACCCCATTAAACCATCAGCATACACCACTTCCTCATTTTTAGAAGACGCAAATGAATTGTTCCTTTTCCATCTGTGTTTCTGAAAAAGATAATTACTTATATCATGGAAATCCCCAACCTTTTGTCCTTCCGTGTGGTCCACAAGAAGAAGTGTGTATGATGGGATAGACACTTCCTGGTCCTCAGTCTGTGAGGTTCCTGTAGTAGCTTTATTTTTAATCTACTTCAGTTTATCTTACTGACTTTATTTTCCAATCTAATTTCTTTACTATGTATGTTGGGGGTCTAAACACAAGACATATTTTTTCAAATATTTAAGAAAATTATTCAAAAAGTAGAATTACAGACGAGACTAAGACAGAGGAGAGGCAGAAGGAGAAATCGTCCATCAGCTGATCTCCATACGACTATATTGACAGGGGCTGGGCCAGACCAAAGTCAGGGATCTGGAATCCCGTTTGGGTCTTCTTCTATGTAGTAGGGGCCTAAGTACTTGGGTTATCTTCTGCTGCTGTCAGTGTGGGATGCAGACTATCATGTTTTTACTGGTAGGCCAAACACTCGTCTGAGAAAGAACCTGATTTTATAGATGCTATTAAACATAATTTTCATATCAATTAGAAGCATTTGTGCTTTGTCAGTGTGGACATGAGGTGCTGTGTTTCTCTGACGCTCTCCCTGACACTCTTTGCTTTGAGACCGGAAGGACAGTTATGGATTCAATGTCGCCATTAGGACCAGAGTGTGTTCAGGCTTGTAGAAGATTCATTTCTACTTGATTCAGTGAATATCTTTTAAAATAGCTACACCTTACTGTTTTCTTTGAACAAGACACATTTTAACATTTAGAAATTTTAGGACACACATTCCTGACCTCCCACTTTCTCCTGAAAGGTCGGTATTTCTGCAGCATGACCTTCTTGTTGCTGTGTAAGGAAAGAAAGTGCCCTTGCAGATTAAGAACATAAAGGACCCTGCTTTATGGAAACACGTCTTTCTTGTTTCCACCTTCCTGTCCCTGCTGGCTCTGTGTTCCCCATGCGGTTGCTTTTTCTTTCTCTTCTCCCCTTTTCATCTTCTTTCCTTCTTAATCTTCTCCCTCCTCTGAACTGCCTTTAATATGTTTAAAGCCACATGATTCAGTCGTGGTGACCTGATGTTGGGACTTGGTTGAACCCTGGGTTTATGCCAAAAGCAAACAATGACTGACCTTTCTGACTCCCCAACCTGTATTCTGTTACTTCCTTAGAGGTGTGAGCTAGAGGACTGTTGCCCAGTTTAAGATCCATTAAATTGCTGAATCATCGTGTGTGTGTGTATGTGTGTGTGTGTGTGTGTTTCTAGGACCCTGTGGATAATTAGACTTCAGCCATTGATGACTGCACTTTACTCCAGTTGCCTTTCAGGTGGATTTGTATGAGGCTTGACAGAAGCCACAAGACAAAGAGTGAATTAGCACCACTGTCCTGTGCTTTGGCTAAGTGGAAAAGCTGTGCCCTAGGTTTTTAATACTCAGACTCCTTTCTTTTGGCAGTTCCATTTGACCTTTCATAAAGAATGGTTGCTGGCTATTTTAGTAACCCGATTAACAGCTTCAAACAGATCCTTTTAAGGCGCTCTAATAAGAAAGGACCAGAGCCAAGTATTTTTTCTCCCTTGTCCAAATGGTGAATCATCCCTGTCCTGAAATGGTTACAAAGTCCAATGGGAATGACATCATCACCCACTGTGCTTAGGAAGAGAAGAGGCTGTTTGGTTCAGGAAGATTTCTGGGGACAGAAAGAAGAAATGATTGTCTTTGCTACATGAAGGACCAACGTGATTTCTCCCTCTAAGTGTCATCACTGCTTTTGTCATACAGCAGTTAGCCTAGCTCTTACATGTAGACATTTTAAATATAGGATGATATTAAGTGCTTGAATACTGTGTTTTTTTATGCCTCTTCATACAAAAATGTGAGCTTACCGCTATTTCCCTTTGATTTCTGCTCTCCATCCTGGCAGCTACTTTTTATTATTCATTCTTTATTTTCGTTTCTGTATGAAAGCAAAAATCAGTTGTGGGGTGAAAGAAGAAAAGGCCTTTCAATCTCATCTTCTCTGCTAAGGATTTATCGTGCTGAATCTGCTGTTACTGTACTGAACGTCTTCCCCAAACAGCTCTGACTTCATTAGGTCATGTTTAATATTAATGCACCACAATTGCTTTTGGCAAGAGGTCCTTCACTTTCCCACTCTCTTGAACAAAGAGTATTGTGGTGGTTTTTTTCCTCATGGTATGACTGTTTCAAGATCATTGCTTTTCTTGTTACTTGCTGTGGATTCTTGCCCCACTTTCCAGTCTGTGACTTGCTGCCCCATACTTTCAAATATTAGTTCATCGATTTGTTATTTCTTTTCTTTTCTGAATTTGCTGGGAGGAAATCCACATCACACACACACAAATAAATATCAGAACAAAACAAGAAAACAGGTTGGGTTTGCTGAGGGGGTGTCCTTGTTTCTTGTGTGTTCTGACATGGATATGGAGAAAATATTCTGTCCTCTTGTTCATTCCTTGGTTGGCTACAATGGCTGCGGATGGTCCAGGCAGAAGCCAGGAGTCAAGAACTCCACCATCCACATCTCCCGGGTGGGTGGCACAGGCCCAGTCACTTGGTCCTTTTTCTGCTGCTTTCCCAGATCCATGAGCAGAATTAGCAAGGAGTTGGAGCTGAAGTGGAGAAGCTGGGACTAGAACCAGCACTTCAGTGTGAGGTGCTGATGTCACAAGTGTTGGCTTCTCTTTCTGTTCTCCACCACAAGGCTGGCCCCTCCCTGTAAGATTAATTCCTGATCACCGTCATTTATTTTATAGATATTTAAAAACAAGAACTCCCAAAACAGATTGGGTTCTTGATGAGACTGTTTGGCAGCCATATATATATATTTCACTTCTTTGTGTCTCTTACGCTCATCTCTCCATTTTTATCCCCTCTCCTCCCCCGTGTGCCAACCTAAATATCTGGCAGAGACTCTTTAGGGAATCATGAGTGTATTTGGGAATGAGTAAGAGATTTATCCAAATCCAAGATGTGTGTGCTGTGATAGGTGACAGGTGCATGTGAGGAGGGATTTTTCAGGGATGTTTTTTTTAAATGAAAGGAAGAAAGTCATAAATGCTGTTTTGCAATGAGGATCATCTCCTTGTAGGAGCTGGTATTTGCTGACTGGTGGTGCTGGTTGTTGTTAGTCACATCCCAGCAATCACGTGTTACTAGGCAGATATTTTCAGAGAAACAATCATGATTGCAAAGTTGGAGGTTAGTACGGCTACTTGCAAGACTGCAGTTAGGACTGATAGTTTCATGTGGTTGCTTTTATTGTGTGTTGGGTCTTTCCCATTGGGACCTCCTGGCTCCATTTCGCTTGGGTCTGATGCACATAGCTCCATTTTGGTACTGAGAGCTTTCACACAAGGTTCAGTATGCACAATTCCTTCTGATAGATTTGTAAATTCAGTAATCTTTTCCCCAGTGTGTCTAATCTGCTGTAAACACATTTTTGAGTTCTTAAGTTTAGTTGGAAAATGTATCGTGTGATTCTTTTATTTATAGATTTTCATTCTCTACTGAAATGCTCCAGCTAATTTTTGAATTGCTCTTGTTTTTTGCTTTGACTATTTTCCTAATGATTGTTTTTTTCCTCTGGAGTTTCTAGTCATTTGCCTTTATCTAATTTTTGTTTGTCTGCTTTTATGGAAAAATCGGTGTGCTGATTTATCTCTAGCCTCTTGCACGTTGCATTGTGCAGTCTACTGCTCAAGCCAGAACTAAGGAGGGAAAGCTTAGATCATAGAAAACGTTGATATGTCTGGCTTTCATCTTGGCCCGGCTGCACAACTTATGGGTGTTTTGATTCATGATTCTCAGGTAGCATCCTTTTCAAGTGGATGGCCATGGAACCAGAGAAGATCTCAGAAAAGCAGAAAGAGATTCTTTCTGTCCTGGAAGAGAAGTTTCCTAACCTGCCTCCAAGAGAGGACATTATCAACAGTCTGCAAGAGACCCAGTTCAATGCTCAGGGTGAGTGAATCTGATCTACAATGAGTGCTATTGCTAATGTCATTATAGCCTCAGTGTATGTGTTTATTGTGGATAATAATGTCAGTAGGTATTCCTTTGGTGTTACAGAGAAAAGGATGACAAAGGGGTTCTCTCTTATCCACAGGTCTAAGTATTGAACAGACCATTTTGAAAGATCTAAAGGAGCTGTCAGATGGAGAAATAAAAGTGGCCATTAGTACGGTGAACATGACCCTTGAGGTAACGTTGAGAATGCCTTTTCTGCAATGATAGATTTCACACAATTGCAGTCTGAACAAACAGGGTACAACTCTCTGCATTCCACAAGGCAATAATATGTTTTTTTTTTTCTTACTCGGAATGTTTCTTCTGATAGATTCAGCATGTAGTATGGTTTACTGTTTGGGTAAAAACATTCTTTATTCCATGAAAAATATCAAGCCTAAATTCTCAACATGAATACTCTTTCATTCATCTTAGAAACACAAAAGTTAGAACACAAATACTTATTTACTTATGTGAGTAAATTAACTTCTTTAATCATACTGAAAACATCCGTGATTGGATTCATTCCCTTCTTTTCTCTATAACCTCTTGCAGAATTCATAGAACTTTCTGGGAAATAAGTTGTCCTTTGGCCTTTGTAAACTATTCGGATGCATGTTATTTTGAGAGCAAATGATTATAACTCAAGGAGTAATAAGGAACTTCCTGCTAGAATGTTAAATGAGCAACTTGGAGTGAAAACTCCTCTTGCCTTTGAGTATATCCTAGGTAAATTATCTTCTGTCTACTCTGGGAGGTTTTCAGCGACTTGTATGTTAATCTTAATTAACCCAACTAATGGGGACTATATTTTACAAAGACACATTGATGCTGTGGCAGAAGTCCCTGTGTTTTCACGGCTGCATGGTCTCAATCAAGTCATCCACCTTTTCTTGAGGCACCTGGATCTCAAGTCATGTTTGGGGAAATAAAATTTACTGTATGATAATTTGACTCATAGGTTTTAGAATTGCTACATTGCTGTTTTTTTATGATGACAGTGACTGTATCAATGCATATTTTTCTGTGCAATAGCAAGTGTATGTACCTTGTGTCCACATCTCAGAAAGCCCAAGAGCAAGGAAAGTACCCCTCTTCTGGGATCTTGTAAAACGCATTCCCAGTTGACCAACATCACTCTTCAGCTCATAGTTATAAACGAATACTGGGGCGCAAACTGTTATCGTATTACGGCATGTCTCATGGCTTATAGAGCATGCTTTCATTGAATACAGTTAGTTGATAAAACTGTTTTGGTGGACTTTCAAATTGGCAAATGCTTCATGTGAACCAACACAAAAGTATATGCACTTTGGGGTGTAGTAACTAGCTAATTGCTCCCGATTAGAAATCTGCTTTGTGTTAGAAACCCAAGGAGAGCATGGATCTTACAAGGGTCAGTAGCTCTGAGAATCGTTTCTGCTAGTTCAAGCCCTGGGGTTTTCTTCCTTCCTCCAGCCCCTGCCTCTTGCCATTTAATGACATCTTATTAGACTTTAAATGCCTTGTTTGGAATTCCTTTCTAAATTAACATAAAACATCTTATAATTGCTTAGGAAACAATTTGCAGTTAGAAAATTATTTTAAGGTTATTAATATTATAGACTTCTTATAGCTTTAACAGAGTTCCATTTACATTATAGGAGTATACAAATGGTTTTGACAGCTATATTAAACTATAACTATTTATGAAGCGGAGTAATAAAATGATCATTTTATCTTGACAGTAATTTGCATAGAGGTCCAGTAATTAATCAGGTGGTTAAGTACATATCTCTGGATGTGCTGCATGGTCTTCTGGGAGGAGAGGAGGACACGTGTGTATATAAAGAAGGGTACACAGTTTAATTGGCAGAGTAAGAGCTTTCTATTTTTGCATAATGAGGATATTAAAAGGGACCGAGCAATGTAGAGAAAGAGCCCAAATAATGTTCAATATCTTCCTTGCAAGAGAAAAATTTACATTGTTTACTCAATCTGCCAGTTTGGTTTTCTCTGTAGTTCATCCTGGGATATCACAGTTTCCACTCCTATTTGGTTATATTTCAGCTTTCCTTTTTCATTTTCATTCACTTCTCTTTGCTTAAAAAAAGAAAAGATGAAAAGTTTGTGGGAAAAGAAAGTAAAAGATCAATTTATATTGGTGCAAACTTTTTTGAATCATGCAATAGTTTTTCTACAATGAATGTACTCATGGTCTGGTGTTGTGGTGTGGCAGGTGTCCCTGTGACACTGGAATTCCATAGGAACACTGGATGGAGTCGTGTCTGCTCCACTTCTGATCCAGTTCCCTTCTGAAACTCCTGGGAAAGCAACGAACTAGCCCCGCCATTTGACAAATGAACCAGTGATTGAGGGTTCTCTCTTTGTCTCTCCGTATCTCTCTGTCACTCTGCCATTCAAATTCATTTATCTTTTAAAAAATAGCACATGTTTTTCATGAACTTTTTGAAAGTCGTGTGCTATGTAGTTCCTCAGAGTTGTTCTTGGTTCCTTTGATTCTGTACGCCTCATGTCTCCTCCTAGATCCAGGACCTTCTTCATGACTCATTACTCCTTGAATTATTTATTTGAGAGACAGTAAGAGTTCTTAGCTGCTGGTTTACTTCCTGGATGCCTGCAATAATGGGGTGTAGAGGGGCAACCAGAACTCAATTCTTTCATTACCGTACTCTGAACTCTCGCTATATACTCTTAAATGTATATTATATTTCCCATTAGTTTTAAATTTGTTTCATCTGTTTATGACTAGAGAATATTTGGACTTAGTGGAGGGTAATAATGACACCGTTGACTTCTGTTTCCCTTAAATTTTCTGGCAAGGTGGTAGAACATATACTTAGGATTTGCTTCTTTGCAGCCTAGTCTTCAGAGGGAACCACTGTTTGGGGGTAGAAGCAATCATGACCCGTCTACATGACAAACCTGTTGTCTCTTTTTTTCAGCAAAAAAAAAATGATCTTACAAATGATAGCTGTAATTTAATCAATGTTATATGAAAGAGATCTCTCAGTCTCTCTCTTCCTCTGTTTTAAAATGAGTATCTATCTATCTATCTATCTATCTATCTATCTATCTATCTATCTATTTTAAAAGGAATAAACTTTTTGGTCTGTCTGCATGAACCTGTTCCCTGTCAACCATATTTCATCTGTTGCCCCCACAGACTTTGATTTCAAGCCTCTTTCCCCTAAATGAGGAACAAAGAAGATTTTCAACTCCTGAACTCTGTCTCCTAATTTGATACTGAGTCTGAGGGATTCGTTCATGTCTCTTTCCTCTGAGCTCTTGGCTGTTACTCCCTGGAGCGCTCAGCCTGGGACTTGCAGGCACTCTGCTGTTTGCAACCTGGAATCAGACACCCGGGAGCTGCATCCTGGTGAAGTGACTCAGGGCCTGCTGACTCATTTCGCACAGCCAAGAGCTTTCCAGCCATGCCACGCCCTCCTGCAGTGCTGCGGAGGAAAAGACACAATATTTTCCATGGACTTTCAGAGCGCAGACTGGAATGGATGCCCAGGACAGCTGTTAGACTCCACCCTGAGCAAAAGGACAGTTTACTAAGGCCTCCATGGACCCATTGTAGCTGGTGATGATTTAAGACTGAGAACAGTCTGAAATCTGGCTTACCAAATTTAGACAACAAATTTGATTTTTCATTGTTTGAACTGTGTTGATCACCTTATTATTTTTTTTTCAGAGTGAATAGTCTCTTAGGGAGGAGTGTATGTTGTTTTTTGATTAGTATGCTTTCCAACTTTTAAACCATTTTGTACTGAGGTATTTTGAAAGGGTAATTTTTGAAGTCATTCTCCATATTACTGGAACATGTGCTGATTGTCCTGCTAAAGCACAATCTCACTGCTGCTCAAGCTTGTTATGAGGCAGCAGGAATTCAATGAGCAGCACTATTATCTGAATTTTTGCAATCCTCCAAACTCCTTGTATGGACACCTCATCTCCAGGGCAATGAAGAGATAGGCCCTGTAGGAAGCGACTAGGTCATGTGGACAGGGGGTTGGTGCCCTCGTAAAGGAGCTTGAGGGAGTCTGTTCGTCCCTTTTGCCATGTAAGGATACAGCAAAGGGGCCAGGAGTAGATCCTCACCAGACACTAAATCTGCTAGCACCTTAATCTCGGGCTTCCCACTCTTAGGTACTCAGAAATTATTCCCTGTTATTTATGAATTAGCCAGTCTAAAGTGTCCTGCTATGGCAGCTCAAACACAGTCAAGGCATGATCCAACATTTGTGCATCATAAAGCAACTCCCCATGCATCTGTGTTTTTCATGGTTTAGTGAAGTGATCTGAACCCGTCTTCTCTCCAGAATATTCATGAAAACATATTTACACGGAGCAGGTGGAGGAGAGGGGAATATCAAACATTCGTAAGATGAGAACACAACCTTATCAAAGGATTCTAGGAACTGAAGTTGACACTAACCTCATCAACATGAATGACTTCTTCGCTGAATTCATGAAGGAGAACGCTCAAATTCTAAAGTATTTCCTGTGTGTGTGTTGTTGGCAATGTGATGGCTGGACATACACTTTTTCAGCATTTTTGGAATTAAGCACTTTTTCTCCATTACTTTGTAAAGTCTAGACTGTAAAGTACTGGATAATAAATATTTCAGGCTTTTTGTCCAGCAGCTCAAACTGAGAATATTATGAGGAACTTGAATAAGAACTACTTGAAAGCGTTTGGTTCCCAAGCCACTCTGAAAAAGGCAGTGGGCTCAATTGGTTCATAGGCGATAGTTTGCTTAAAATGTGTAGCATCAGGGGCCATAGTGAGAATGTTACCAGCAGATGAGGTGTCCACCTTTAAACACGCTGTTTCTGTCCCTTCTGCTACCATATATGGTACTGTTCATCTCAGTATTTGGGGGGGAAATGGGCATTTTTTGCCAGAAGGAATTTTGAATGAACTCATATATCACTGTATCTTAATGTTGATCAATACGCTTCCAGAACTTGAACGTAATATAAGCAGGTGGTTCTGTTTTATGGAACTCTATTAGTACAAGGAGGTAAGGTGGCTATTGATTCAAGGAAGAAATGGAGTATTAATGTCCATTTTTTTTGTTGAGAAATAAGCTTGATGACATCAGCAGAATTCAGCACCCTTCCTGTCAGTCACTGCTAGTAACTGTAGGTATATGGAAAAGTCGTAGTAGATTTTGCTTCTAGCC